GTGTTTTCGTGGCTGTGGGGGGGGGGGGGGGGGGGGGGGGGGTCTTACTGGGAGCCTTGATTGGAGGAAGCTGCTTAGTATTTCTCCATTCACACCAGCCCCCTCTTATGCTTGTGCCTGCTGGTATAATTGGCTTTTTCCTGGCCTTCTCCTCCCCTTCATTTGCTCCACGACTGCTGCTTCTCCGACTCCTTCGTGCCTAAAGCTGAGCGTGCTGAACCTCACATGCTCTGCAACTTCCCCCTGTGCTACTTGGTTGATTAGGGGATTCGTCTCAGCCCAGACTTATGCGGAGAAGTGCCGAAGCAAATCCCTGGCAAGGCAGAAGGGACTTTTGCTTGCACGGAGGATATGGAGATGGTGAAAAAGGTGGTGACACCGTCTCAAACCCTGGAGCAGGATAGCAAACTGACTGCACAGCCCCGAATCAGTGAGGCAGCAACAGAGCCGCACACCGCTTCCCTCCCAGCTGGCTAGGAGCTCCCATTACTCACCGGAGGTGTCGTGGGCAGGAAAGCCGCCTCCTTCAGCATCCCGAGGGTCCATGATGCCCCTCTTGCAGCCCTGGAGAAAGAGGAAGGGATTAGAAGCTGCACAAACCTGGTCATGAAGGATGTGAAGCAGGCAAGTATTGCAAGGGGGTGTTCACCCTGCTTGGCAGATGCACGTGCATTTTTGACCCTGACCCCATTTACGCACAGGACGGACCAATGGAGACCGTAGCAAGCGACCAGCCCTGACCTGCCGGAGCAGAGAGAAAGAAGCTAACGGGAATCATTTTGGATGAGCCTTTCTGTTCTGGTTTTTTGTTTGTTTTGTTTTTTTATGCTGAAAGGATCCAAATGCAAAGGAAAATGTTGTGTTTTGGCTGCATGATCTAGGCTATTTCCTTGTCACAGCTCCCTTTGTGGGCTCCTAATCATTCCCACAGCACCAGCACGTCCTGGCAGAGCCGGTCAAATGAGACACCAGCACGCATGGATTTCACCGGTGACATGAAGCACTAGAGGAGCTCGGTGCCGTGCACTCTGCATCCGATCCAGGCACGTGCTCACAATCCAGTGAACTATGCTGTGGGACACCTCTAGCTGCAGCTGCAGGGGCTGGCAAGGAAGCACGCTACAGGGTCTGTTACGGTGCCGCGGACTGGCTTTATCCCATGCACCAAACTGGGTTTCCTTCAACAGGGGACACATCTACACATGCGCTTTAATGTGCATTAGCCTATTTTAATGTGCATTAAATCGTCACTAAAAAAACATGCCCTTTAGTTGATGCGCATGACAATGCTAATGTGCATTTTCCTAGCACCTATGGGCATTTGTACACATGCTTGCACCACAGGGCGCTTTTAAAAGCCTGCAGCACATGCAGTTGTATAAGCAGCAAAATGCATGTCGGCACTGAGAAAATGATAGCGGTGCAATTTTGAACTAAAATACATTGGAGGTGTTTTAGTGCAAAAGCGCACCGCTGCCACTGTCTGCACGCTGATGAGCATTTACACAACTGCACACGGCACAGCACAGACTCGATTAATCAAGTTTGCTCCGACCCGCTGGATCTCCATCGCGTTGCGGGACACAAAGGTATGTGTATAAATGCCCTCACAATTGAGGTGCTAGAGTTAGTGGCAGTAACTAAAGTGCGTCAATGCATGTGTAGATGCACCCAGGGATGCAGAATCAGACCGCAGTAGATGCCTGGAAGCCAACGTCAGGGGCCTGGCAGCCGATGGGGAGTATAAAGAGGAAGATAAGAAAGCAGTGGCTAAGCTGATAGAGGAGAGAGCTGAGCCTGCTTGGGGAAAAGTCCCGCTCCCCTAGCAAGCCTCCGGCATGCAGAAGGGAGACCTCAAAATAATGCATTTAAAAACTTCTAGTTTGGCTGTCCACGGGCCCCGCCGTCTGCATCAACACACGTGACCACAGCACCTGGCCGCACGCGTGCAACCATAAATGCACACATCCTCGTCCAGAGCTGTGCATCTGCACACTGGTGGCCATACCCCCTTGCATCCCTCACGGAAGAGCACAGGGTTGTGGGCTTTACCAGGAAAAGGGGACGTGGGTTTAAACGACACGTAACACAGCTCACGGATTTCACCACTGACATGGCAGTTTGCAGGTGATTTCTTGTCCTGCCCTTTCCCCTTCAAGCTGGTTGGAGTGGTATAAGCAGGATCAGGTTGAGCCGCTGACATGGGCCCAAGGGAAGGGGAAGAGGCTGGAGAATGGGTACATCTGGGATGGTTTGGGCAGGGACAGTGTGTGCAGGAGAGAAGACTGAGGAGGGATTTGATAGCAGCCTTCAACTCCCTGCTGGAGGGCTAGAAAGAGGACGGAGCTGGGCTGGTCTCAGTGGGGGCAGATGACAGGACAAGGAGCAATGGGCTCAAGCTGCAGCAAGGAAAGTTGAGGCTGGGTATTAGGACAAACTTTCTCACTACTGGGGTGATGAAGCACTGGAACAAGTTACCCAGAGAGGTGGTGGCATCTCCATCCTTGGAGGTTTTTAAGACCCAGGTCGAGAAAGCCTTGGATCTTGTTGGGGCTGGTCCTGCTTGGAGCAGGGGGTTGGACTAGATGCGCCTTCCTGAGGTCCCTTCCACCCTCATTGTCTAGGATTTTGCCTGGTTAGACCTGGTGTGACCTCCAGCCTCACTTCTCTAGACGTCTATGAAGAGTGTCCATGCCGGGTGCATCCCACCCCAGCAAGGCCAGGGCCTTGCCCCTTCCGCACCACAGAGACGATGCTTTCAGCATCGCTGTACGGAGATTGCGTGTGATCGGTACTCACGGGCATGGATGTCTAGACCTCCAGCAAGCATTAGGATCCCCCCTGTCTGGGGCCTGCAGCATGACACCAGCTGGAGCCGTTCAGCTAGTAATCCTTGCCTGGAGCTCGTCACCTCTCTGGGGTGAAAGCAGAGCATTCGGAAGACACCTAGTCCTGGAGACGTAGGGCAGGAAGCTGCAGAGGTCACCCCTGACACAGCACCAGGCATCACTCCCCACCCTGCCTGGGGAAAGCAAAGCAGCGGGGCCGCGACCACCAACACCCTGCTTGTATGAAATGCTCTCAATAGATGTGCCAGAGAGCCCGTGCCCCTGCTGCACAGGAAGGCAAACCCCCCCCCAGTTTGTACCACTCTGACCAGGGTGGGGAAACCCCTTGCTGGCCCCAATGCAGCGGGCGGCTGGTACCTGCGGCCCGGGATGTCCTCTCCTCTCCTCTCCTCTCCTGCCCCGTGCTGTGCCGTGCCGTGCCGTGCCGTGCTGTCCGGGCCGCGGCTCCCAAGGATGCTTTGCTGCAGCGCAGGAAGCGGGGCGGGAGCGGCCGGGCGGA